AAGAAAGAACCCAAAGGGTGTTTATTTTCTTTTTCCTAAAGTTTTTCTTTTCTTAGGTGTCCACAATGATATTATTCACATCCTTAGTTCCTGCCATCCTTTCATTATTTTCCCACACTGTTGCATTAGCTTATTTAGTGATTTAATTAGTTTTATATGGCAAAGCAATCACACATGATAACCTTATGTTAAGATTCTCAAGGTGCTTGGGGGTTATTCCTGGGACTCAAACCCAGGGTTCTTAGTGCAAAGCAGGTGTTCCCGCCCTTTGGGCCATTTTGATGTTCTTCCTGAGAACTTCTTTCACTAGACTTTCTGTTACCAAGTTACCCAAGGGGTTGCTGGAGTCTACATGTGTGTAGTGCTGAATAAGACCCTCTTGTGTGAACAGCGCATGGTGCTTTGGTCTCCACTCTGTATTGGATTAATTCCTGTTTAATTGTACTTGCCTTTTAATGCTCTCCAACAGCTGATACTCTGCAGACCTGGTGACTGTTCTTGGAAACATTAGTCTGACTGTACTGATGGTTCAACGCAAGGATCCGGGGCTGCATTATTGCTTGAGCCCTGCAGGGCTGAGAATTATTCTTGGCACCCTAGTGATATTCAGGGATTATCAGACTCAGCCTCAAGCAAGTTATATGATGTGGCCCTTGCATTATCTCTCCAGGACCTCTGAGGCTGTTTCTTAGGGCACAAGAATCTGTGCATAGTATTGTCACAATGTCTTATTTACTTCAAAGACAAGTTAGAAATCATTATTTTTATTTAAAAATTGATAGAACAAAGTTTTAAGAAATACCAACTGATAAGAAACGTATTTAGCTATCTAGAGGAAGATTTTTGGTTTAAGATTTCCAGATGAAGTTATTTTGGTTGAGGATGCATCACTTGATTCTAGCAGATTTACCAACTTCTAGGATGCTTAAAAACTTGTCCCTTAGGACCAAAGAATGGTAAGCAAGGAATTAATGAGGCAGAAATTTTAGTAGGATGTGAAATGGGGATAAGTAGCGATTGGGTCCAGTTAGCAAAATTTATGATAAAAAATTAAACTTAAGGGTGGAAGATTTCTCTTCACACCCCAAATTTGGCAAGTAAGGAGAATGTGATCATTTTAGAGAGGTAAACTTTCAAATAAAGAATAATCTACATTTTTAAATATTTATAAAGCCAGACAAAAAATGTTCAAAGCCCTCTTCCAGAGGATAATGATTCAATAATTGGACTGTAATCTGATGGAGTGAATTGATATGTTTAAATCGTGTCAGTTCAGGGTGAGAGATGGTCAGGGAAGATTCCAGGACCTGTTTTTAAACTCTGCAAATATATGACTCCATCAGCGGGACAGCCAGAGCTGGGTAGAGGGAATTGCTGGGGAAAGAACAACCCAACCTTCCTGCACGGCTGATGGGACAGTTCCATCTATATCTCCCACATTGCACCCTAACCCCTGAACTCTGACTAAGTTGTGCCTTCTCTGGCTCTGGGGTCCTGCTGGAGTCACTGGGACTAGAAACCTGAGACCTTCTCTCAGGATTGGGTAGGGTCCCTGGATTCAGCCACTCCCTTCTTCTAATCTCCTTCATCTGCATTTTCTTACACGTGGGTCTTTCCACCATTCTTCATGAAGTGCTTCCTACCTAGGTTCAAGCAGTAAGTTCAAGGGCTGAGTGTCAATTCTGCTACCCCGTATGAATCCACTAGTAGGATTTTATCTAGACTTTGGGAATTGTCAGCATCTTTAAGAAGAAGTTCACATGTATGTTCGCTGTGCCTTGTTTTCTGGGTAGAGGGTCTCTAGATTTTTAGGGATATAGACAGAGTTGGTTCAAACCTTTGACTTCTTGTACAGAATAGGAAGGAATCCTGGGTATCTGGAAGCCAATGATTAAGCCCTTGGTGATACCAAGGATCTAAATACTCAAAGATAAAGGGAGAACTGGTTTGAGTAGGAGGTACCTAAAGAAAGGGACAATGTGCTATTCCGGAATGCACATAGACTGCCACCAGTGTACTATTCTTTTGGCATTTTCTCCATATTATTTTATTTGGATCATTGATTTCTTTTTGTGGGTGGTAAGTGTGCTCAGAGTGTGGTGTAGCAAGTGAAATTTCCTCAAGCGTATTTGGGAACATAGAAGTATTATATGATGTAGGAAGTTGGCACAAGTTGACAATAAACAGTACCATGATATTTTTTTGCAATATTAAGCCTGATATGTACTATCAGTCTCTGCAGTGTAAGCCAGTTTATTTCAACTAGCTTCAGCAAGCAATAATCAAGCACTCCTTGTCGACATTATTTTAGCTCTTCTATAAAAACGTTGGCGATAGATGCTAGGTTATGAACAAGTCACTGTGACGCTAGGTACTGTCTATGGGCCTGAGAACAGACAGGTTTTACAGTAGCACTGGACTAACAGCTGTATGTAGGTTTGCCTGAGACAATTCTCGAACTATCCTTATTATTACTGTGTTGTTATTAACAGCACCCTATTTAGACAACAATTTATAAGGTTACCCCTCTCTATAAGCCTTTCCTTGTTCTAACCTTTTAAATCTGTGTATCTGTATCTCTTCCCATTAAATTAATTAGCTCCTCCAGGCTAGAGACACTATCATTTATCTCTGTGTTTAATACATGCCTGATATTTGGAGGACACTTAAAAAACTTTTGTTAAACTGAACTAAAGTTCAAGAAAAAAAAATGAAGATGTGCCTGGTAGTAGTAGAGGCAGTGGAGACAGTAAGTACTTAAATAGCACTTACACTAACTCACTTATACTAACTCATTTCAGTGCCACAAAAGTATCCAGAGAGATAGATAGGCACTATGACTATCCCTATGTCAGAGAAGACAATAGAAGGAATCAACAGATGGAATAAAGTGCTTAAGGCCACACCCAGCAAGTTGCAGAACAAGACTTAGAATACAAAGTACCTTGTTCTGAAGAATGTGTTTTTAACCCAGTTTACTCTACTTCCTCTTGATCTGAGCCACGTTAGCCAGTGCAAAGAATGCCCATAACTTTGTGGAATAGAGCTCTGGGGCTGAGGTCAGAAATTTAAAGGTTGATTTTTCATCTGCTCCTGTACTTTTTTTTTCCTTAAATTTTTATTAGTGAAACACCATGAGGTACAGTTGTAGACTTACAAATTTTTGTACTTGGGTTTCAGTTATACAATGATCGAATACCCATCCCTCCACCAGTGCCCATTCTCCACCACCACCAGTCCCAGTATCCCTCCCACCCCCATTCTCCCCATCCCCCATCCCACCCTACCACTGTGGCAGGGCATTCCCTTTTGTTGTCTCTCTCCTTTTGAGTGCTGTGGTTTGCAAAAGAGATATTGAGTGGCAGTCTTGTTCGGACTATAGTTTACTCTCATCACGCATTTCCCATCCTGAGAGAAACCTCCCAACACCCTTTATTTGGTGCTCCCTTCTCTATCTGAGCTGCCTTTTCCCCTAGCGTGTGCGGCTGTCCTCAAAGCCGTGGAATAATCCGCCTGGTACTTATCTCGGCTCTTTTTGGGTGTTAGTCTCCTATTTTGTTACTTTATGTTACCCAGATGAATGCATTCTTTCTATGTCTATCCCTCTCTTTCTGACTCATTTCACTTAGCATGATACTTTCCATGTAGTACCACTTGTATGTAAATTTCATGACTTCATCCTTTCTGACAGCTACATAGTATTCCATTGTGTAGATGTTCCAAAGCTTCTTTAACCAGTCATCTGTTCTTCGGCACTCAGGTTTTTTCCAGATTCTAACTATTGTAAACAGTGCTGCAATGAACAGACAACTGCAGATGTCGCTTCAACTATACTTTTTTGCCTCTCCGGAGTATATTCCCAGGAGTGGTATTGCTGGGTCAAATGGGATGCTCCTGTACTTTCTTGGAAGGAATAAACAGATTATAGATTTATTAGAGGGAAAACACTTGCCATGCTTTTATTTACATATAGGATCTTATAAGGTAGACCTCTTAAAACACATAGAAGGTGTACAAAAATTGACTTCCACCAAATAAATATAAGTAGACTTAAACCAGTCTCTGTGGGTTCCCCCTTTAGTATAAAATTCTTTGTTATCGAAAAAGAGGGGCAGGAGGGTGAAATGCGTAACTCTGCCCCAAACTCTCAAAGTCAAGTTGTCATCTTCTGCATCATCAAAACCTGAATCCGAACTCACGGCTTGCTTGTGTTTAGCTCCTTCCTCCAACCCCAGCCCTGGGAGTCATTGGTTGCTGCCTCATCTAGTCTTCCTGGGTTTTGCTTGGTCATATCTGTAATGACTGTGAATTAAATTCAAGAATGGAGGCCAATACACTTGGATGTAAAGCAAAAGTAAAGGCCCTCCCATTGTTCATCGATTTGCTCGAGCGGGCCCAGTAAGGTCTCCATTGGAGATTTTGTTGTTACTGTGTTTGGCATATCGAATACATCACGGGTGGCTTGCCAGGCTCTGTTGTGTGGGCGAGATACTCTTGGTAGCTTGCCGGTCTCCCCGAGAGGGGTGGAGGAATCGAACTTGGGTCAGCCATGTTGGTTGCGTGCAAGGCAAACACCCTACCGCTGTGCTATCGGATGTAGATTACAGCAACAGAATTTCTAGAGACTTCTTAAGTCTGAGAACTGTCATTCGATTTCATCTTTGTTATTGCTTTTACCTCAGTCTATCATTTATGAAATTGGGGATGCTTGAGGAACATCATGTAACATAGCACCTCGCACCGTGGTACAACCAGATGCCCAAATTGCAGACATCAAAGGATTTCCCAGTTAGTGTATGATTTCTTCTGGGTCTGGATCTTGCCTTAGACTATCAAGGATCCTTCCATTCTCTCCAGCCCTCTGGCTGTGTCCTTCCTTTATTCTCTTCCATTTCTTCACATTCTCCCTTAGTTTTATCACTCAAATCACAATGTGTTTGTTGTGTTTGTTTGTTGTTTATTGTTAACTCATACTGAGAGTCATTTTGGTTTTATCCCAGGAGATGTTTGGCTACCGGACTCAAGGATGCCGGAAAACCCTCTGCCTTGCTGGATCCATCTTCTCCTTTGGGATTCTCCCCTTGGTACTGTACTGGAGACCTGCTTGGCATGTGTGGGCCAACTGTGTCCCATGCTCATTGCAAGAAGCAGACACTGTGTTGCTGAGGACAACAGTAAGTGTGCACCTGATTGGGAACTTGGAAGCCTTTTCCTCCTAGATGTTGTTTTAGGGAATGACTATGGAGAGGATGTTCCACCAAAAATATGTCAAGTGGAGGCTCCTGCCTCCTAGTCCAGCACGGCTTTGCAGTTAATTATGACTGTATAGGTAAGATGTGGTTTGGGTGAGAACTACTTCACAGGATATTCCTCTGAAAGTTTGGCAAATATCAGAACAGGGAATAAGCAGGTTAATAACCAATAAATAATAGATTCTATTACATAGGTAGGGACACACTTCCCGCCAAGCCTTCCCTCTGTGTCTTGACATAGCTGTGTCTGTCTCATTGCCTCCATTCAAATGATTCCCGAGGATGGTGGGGAAGAAGATGGGAAGTAAGTCAACGGGAAGCAATCTCTCCCTGCTCATTGGATGCAAACGTGAAACTCCCATTTAGAATGCAAGGTTTTTAAAAAATGCAGCCATTTGTACTTACATCAGTATGCATCAAAGTTCTTTTCAACTTTCCCGTATGGTACTTGTTGACTATCGGTCTCGTGCCAGTATTTAGCCTTAGATGGCAAGCTCCCTGTGACATATTCAATATGCCAGACACAGTAACAACAAAGTCTCCAATGGAGACGTTACTAGGCCCGCTCGAGCAAATCGATGATCAATGGGAGGGCCTTTACTTTTACTTTTACAGTATGCATATGTCCTTTCAAATGAATGCTTTTGTGATTTGGGGCTAGGTTCCAAATCCGGATGTGGAATGACTGAATTATATCTTAGGGGGGAATGGTCTGGATTTGTCAACGTGTCACAAGTTTAATTATTACTCTTGGACATTTGGGACATCTTTTTGATGTGTCCTGATAGAGAAGGGAGGGAGATTTATTTAGGGAGCTTGATGGGACATAAACACTTAGGGAAGACCATTGATTTGTGAACTTTCATAATCTCCATGTGAACTCAAAGGCTTATGATTATTCTTATTAGTTGGAGTGAAAGAGGATGCCAAAAAAGTATTTAGGTCTATCCTGCAAGTGCATCCATTTTTCCTTGAGATCTCAGTGGTCAATTTTTCTGCTGCAACAGAAATAACCTCTGAATAAAAACAAATTGTTTTCTGTCTATCAGAGTGTATCACCAGGCTCTTCGGATCTGAGGGCATCGGGTTGGTTGACCTGGCAGAAGGAACTGATAAGAATAACAGGAAATTAGTGTGGTGTAGCCAGATAAGGCAGGAAAATGAAAAGACGGACAGGGAAGCAGGCAAAAAGAAAGTGAAGAGGGAGCTAGAAAAAGAAAAAAGTCTATTAACAAAAGAAATTAAAAAATATCAGCAAACAGGAAAAGAGAGTGCATTTTGGTATTTGGAGTTAAAACTTTTCACCTCTGATCTTTAGACGGGCTAAACCTGGGGATTGTTTCATGATATATATATATTTTTAATCGAATCACTGTAAGATACACAGTTACAAAGCTGTTCATGATTGAGTTTCAGTCATACAATGATCCAACACCCAATCCTCCATCAGTGTCCATTTCCCACCACCAACGACCAGTTTCCTTCCTGAGCCCTCTGCCCCCAGCTTGCCTCTATGACTCTATGGCAGGTACCTCCCTGCCAACTCTCTCTCATTGCATGGTATTTTAAGTCATTGATTTGTCCATTTGGATTCACTAAAGTAACTTGTTTTTTCTTGGACTGGTGTAGAGATGAGGTCCTGGATATGAAAGTCATTAACAGAAAGCTTTATTTTAAGACTTTATTTATCTTTGAGATTTGGAGTTATGCCTAACAGTACTCAGGGGATAATTTTGGCTGTGCTCAGGAGTGACCTTTAGTGGTGCTCTTGGGACCACATATGATGCTAAAATTTGAACCAAGGTCAAGCCACCCACCACAGACAAATGCAAGGCCTTATCTCCTGTTTATTTCTCTGGTCCCAGCCGCAAGTTTTAAGATGCAGCAGTGGGCCTGAGAGACGGCTCACAGGTTGAGTACCTCGTTTCTGCCACCTCTCCCTACCCCCTTGAGCACTGTTGGGTGAGGCTCCCCCTAAAATAAAATCAATAAGTAAAACGTGTTCACAAAGCAAGATCCTTTTGACTGATGAATGGATTGATTGAGTGTGTTGTGTGATTGTTCAAACAATAGGTCCAGGAGCTGACTACATAGAAGGGCTCCCCGTCCACCAGCTGGTCTTGTGTATAATCTCCCCCCTAGCTAATCTTGTGTCTTCTACTTATTGGTCCGGAAACTTAGCATCTACTTCCAGGACTGGAGACAAGGGGAAGTGTCTTGTACCTGGGAATCTTTATGTGCAATCAGGTCATCTCTCCAAGTTGCGCGGGGTCAGTTTTGCAACTGGCCGGAGAGAAAAAGGTTCCGAAAAGCATTGGGGCCTCACGTCCCTGTCCTCCTTCCTTCCTCCTTTCTCAGTTCTTTGAAAGTTTGTTCCTTCCAGCTCCATTTTTCACTGCCCTCTGCAACTAATCAGAGCAATCTAACTCTGCTTCAGTCTTGCTTTTTTCATCTTGATTTCAACTTTAATTTTTAATTGCCTGCTCTTGTGTGTCATTTTAAATGGATTTGCTATGCCAGACTCTCCAAATAAATGAGATTCTAAATTAGTCTTTATGTAATTAGACAAGAACTCAATTATTTCAAACATTCTTACTATCTAAGCCTTAGATAGAAATAAGCACCTATAATTTAAAAGTCGGCTGCCCTTTTTTTCCCCTTTTTCTTTGCATTAAAGTGACTCCTTAAACAAGATTTTATTTGAATTTTATTATAATGGGCTGGAAAGATTTGCCATGAAAAAGGGTTGGAAGACTCCTACTTGAAAAAGTGTTGTTTATCTGTTTTCCATGTTATTAGAAGATCAGTGCTTGGTATTTATCATCAGTCTCTCACTGCTAAGATGATAGATCATTATCACAGACACTGATTAGTCATTTCGTAACATTAAAAAAAGAGCCACAATGTAGTGAGCCCAAATCTTTAGCACCTAGTTTATTTTTCAGCCTCCCTTCTCTTATGTAGCACCCGTTAGACTGAGGTCTTTCTGAAAGAATATAGTTGCATTTTTATTTTATAATTTTTTTCTAAAGTTTATTCTTTCCCACATATATGTTTTTTAGGTCACACCCAGCAGGGTTCAGGTGTTACTCCTGACTCTGTGCTCAGGGGTTATTCCTGGTGGGACTTTGAGGACCATTTGGAATGCCTGGGACTGAACTTGGGTGGGCAGCGTGCAAGGCAAGCGCCCTACTCACTGTAGTATTTCTCTTGCTCTGATCCTCTTATAATTTTTACAAGTGGAATTTTATTTTTTTTACTCATCTCCTTTTGAATTTTAAATAATATCTAGCAATGTCATGTTTCTATGCAAATAAAATGATTTGCATTCATTGGTATTTTGAATTATTTATTTATTTTTAATTTAATTTTATTTTTTTGATAAGTTTTATTTGATCACCATGAGATACAGTTACAAACTTGCATGATTACGTTTTATTCATACAATGATCGCACACTCATCCCTCCACCAGTGCACATTTTCTGCCACCATTGTTCCCAGTGTCCTTCCCGCCATCTTTGTCCCAACCCACTCCCTGCCTCTGTGGCAGGTACAATCCTTCTTACTCACTCTCTAATTTGGGGTGTTATGATTTACAGATACTAAGAGGCCATCATGTTTGGTCCTTGGTCTACTTTCAGCACATATCTCCCATCCTGGGTGATCCCTTCAATCATCATTTACTTAGTAGTCTCTTCTCTATCCCAACTACCTTTTCTCCCAGCATGTAGGACTGGCTTCTAAACCGTGGTGTAATCCTCCTGGCCTTTGTCTCTACTGTCGTTAGGTGTTTGTCTCATATTATGCTACTTTATTGAATTTTTTATTTTAAACTTTATTAGTTTATAAATGAACTTTCAGATTTATGGAAACAATAGTTTTAGTTTATCTTTCATCCAGTTCTTTTCAGTGTTACCATCCTGAATCAATGCAGTATAATTTCATAACCAGAATATTTGTATTGGTGCAACCCATTCAGCTATTCAACTCTCATGCGTGCAGTATGCTGTGGTGTGTGTGTATGCATGTGTGTGCGTATGTATGTATATGTGTGTGTGTGAGTGTGTGTGTATGTACGCGCACATTCAATGCAGCATGATGACATATGTCAGTGTGTGTACCAGCACCACAGTCAGGATACAGACTAGGTCCACTTTGTGCCACACTTTTTATTGATTTAATTTCAGGGTAGAGCAGCTCTCAGTTGGTGCTCAGAGGAGCCCAGGCCCATTCCTGGCAATCTGGCAGGTAGATTAGTCCTAGGGCTTGTGATGTGCTGCTGCTCCGGTTTTGCATTGCTGGGAGCCACCAGTATCACACCCGATGGGCATTTTGAGTTTAGATGCTCAAGATGATTTCCTGTTTTCATCTTTATTATCAATACCAATGCATTTATTTTCCATCACTGGCATTGTATGCCGCTTCATTGTTAAAACAAAAACCCCATGGTGTGTGTGTGTGTGTGTGTGTGTGTGTGTGTGTGTGTGTGTGTGTAGAGAACTCCTTGATGATTGGTTAGGCTTTCCACTGGGCATTTTGTTTCAATGGGAGGGGAGACGTCTGATGACAAGAAGCAGAAAAAATGTTATGAGGAAATTTAAATGTGCTACAGTTTGGTCTTAAGTGGTCATTTTGGTCTTAAGTGATAATTAAAAAGGAACACTCGTTTGCTGAAATCACTAATCTGTACACTTAAAATGTTTGATTTTAGTCATATGGATATTATATTACAATGCATTCGTTTTTAGCATACCACCTGAAAAAAATTTCTGATCTAAAAGGTCGATAAGAATTGAAAGGTGCAGAGGGGCGCACTGGGAGTGACTCAGGTAAAGGGAGAATGTGGACAAAGAGCCTGAACCTGAGCTTTCTGACTCTCCAGGTCCAGGGGTATCGCCCTCGAGGTTGGATTTCTCTGTAT